ACCAAATTACACCGGTGCATCAAAGAAATTACACTTATAGTCCGAACAAATTAGATTGCATCCTACAATGTAAAACTAGTAATAGTAGCATGGAAGTGTCAACATAGCTCACAAATACTATAGAAACTAGCAATCAACTGCAGTGGAGAAGTGCTGGCCGGAGCTGCAGGCGGAGGAGGAGGGCGGGGAGCAGAGAAAGAAGGCACGCACGCCGCCGCGCCGTCCCGCAGCCAGGAGGGGAGCAGAGGAAGAAGGCACGCCGGCCGCCGCGCTGTCCTGCAGCCGAGCAGAGGTGGCGGGAGCATATGGGCATGGAGCAGAGGAAGAAGATGCGGGAGCCGTCTCGTAGGTGAGCAGCGCTGGGCGGAGCATGCGCGCGTGGGTCATGGAGAAGAGCTATGGAGCTGCGGTGGAAGGGAAAGGGATAGAGGAGGATAAGGATGAGAAGGATAAGACTGACGGGTTTTATTCATGTGGAGAGGCTTCTAGAGATGCAGATGTGTACAGTTGATGGACTCCAAAGCGCACATCGGATAGCTGACAAATCGAGTGAGGTGAGGGGAAATAAGGCCCGAGTGCCGTGTAGAATAATCGTACATATAAAACCATTCCAGGAGCAGCCCGCCCGCATTTAGGAAGAAATAGGTACAGGTAGCAGGTTATGCTGTTATGCTTCATATACAATTACGCCGTGTTTAGTTGAGGAAAGTTTGGATTTTGGGCTACTGTAGTATTTTCGTTTTTATTTGGTAAATAATGTTCAAACATGGACTAATTAGGCTCAAAACGTTCGTCTCGCAATTTCCCACCAAACTGTGCAGTTAGTTTTTTTTTTCGTCTACATTTAATGCTCCATGCATAAGCCGCAAACAATCGATGTGATGTGTACTGTAGCACTTTTTAGGATTTTGGGTACCAACTAAACATGGGCTTACCCAAGGCAATGCAAACATTTATTAAAAGTTTTCTATGAACTGCCTGCACCTAAAACGAATCAGGCGCGCGACGGCCGGACAGCGCGCCGTGCTCCCACAATGCACACGGAAGGCGGCGTGCTTGCCTCTGCCCCATACACCCCCGCGCTCCAGTAAGGGTGCGTTTGTTTGAGGATATTGTGGATGGGATACAGATATCCGTGTTGGCTGTTTGTCTGGATGGATAGGACGACTCATTTTTCTATTTGGTTGGATGGATGGGATTACATGGGATGAGAATACTTGAGTAATTATATCTATTATTTAAAAATAATAACAACTAATTATACCATAATAAATATACACCGACACTAATCTTGTTATTATAATCACTAATTAAAAATAAAATATGTCAATTAGCACTATACTACTCTAATTGTCACACAAAACATGCGCTAATCAACATGTGGATATCCTCATCCGTCAAATTTTTCAGGACCAGGATATCCAGCATCTACCCAGAATATTCCCTGTTGTGGATATTTAAGTTCAGCTTGTCCATCCAATCAAACACCATGTATCCATGGATATCCATGTCCCATCCATGGATATCTATAGAACCAAACACACCCTAACTGACGCGGCTGCTCGCCCCGACCTCCCCACCGAACGTCCTCCGCCACGCCCGCCCATCCCTCTACATCCCAAAACCACTTCTTGTCCAACCCGCGCACTCCCAACGTCCTTATGAAACACCTAGACGGTGAGCCACGGCTCACCTCCAATCACAGAGAAGAGGAGAGGGGGGGAGGAGGAGGGCGTGAACCCTCGTCGCCGGCCGTCGGCTTTACCGAGAAATAGAGAGTGCCAGTGGGCGATGGAAACGAACGAACTGGACTCTCCCTCTCGACGGACGCTCTGGTGCGGATGCTTCCCGTCCGGACGCTTCTTTCCGTTGCGAATCGGTCCAACATCCTTCATTTACTCATCAAAAGTTGCTCAAAAGTTTCTTAAAAAAATTAAAAGTTGCTAAAAAACTCATAAAAAATAGTGACATTTCACCGTCTCGTATCGCCTGTCGCGGCATTCCCCACTGCAACAGGCGCCTCCACTGCGTCGCCCGCCCACTCCCCCATGCTCTGCTCTGTTTCACGATCGACTGTCACTGCGCTTGCTCCTACTCCTGCTCTATCGCCCTTGCTCCTGCTCCCTCTGCCGCTCGTCACCCGTCGCGCCTGACAGCGTGGGCACCGTCGCGCCCATGCGTAGCGACTGCTCCCATGACCGCCAGCTGGCCATTGAGGCCGCCGTGCCTGCTCACGCTCGACAACGTCGACAGGTGCCGCTAACGCAATGAGAAGCGTCGGGCCCTAACGCGGAAGCCCTCCGGCCTCGCCTCCTGCTACGGCTGCGGCGCCCCGATGCAAACGGCGGAGGAGGCCGCACCGGGATACGATGCATGTTTCAAGCGTACATTTCAAATGTTTCAGATGTTTTAGAGGTATATTGTAATTGTTTCATACAAATGTTGCAAAAGTAGATTGGGATGTTGCATATGTTGCAATGATTGTATACGTATGTTGCAAGTGTCTGTCCCTAATGTTTCATTTGTTTTTCTAGACGCATGTTGCAAGTGGGTTTATCTGGATATTGCATATGTTTCGTATATACGTTGCAAGGGTTTTATCTAGATGATGCGTATGTTTGCAATGGTTTTCAAGTGTTTTAAGTGTTATTGCAAGTATTTTAAAAGCATGTTTTAAGTGTTTCATCTGTCTTTAGACGCATATTACAAGTGTTATATCTGATATTTGAAAAGTAAAAGTAGATCGAATAGACAGGCGTGGAAAGTAGGAGGGGACACGAGCACAAAACGCAGGTGTGGGTGGAGGCGTGCTGGCACAGGCACGGAGCGGAGGCGCACGCATGTGGGAAACAAATCGCATGGGCCATGGTACCGTCCGTCCGGGCGCCAACAGTTCAATAAAAAAAAGGAGAGTCAGGAGCGCATCTATATTGGGCCAGTAGCCCATCTGTTGCTTTTTTTAGGGGAAGCCCATCTGTTGTGGGTAGTCATATTTCTGTGCCCTGTTTCCCCAACCTTGTATATTATCCTTTAGGATACTAATGGGCTGTTATGAGGCTTGTGCAGCATATCCACTCTTTCGGATACTATATAAGAGCATCTTCAAGAGACTATCTAAAAAATATTTTCTAAATTTACTGATTTAGTTATTCTCTAAAATAGAATCTACCTAAAAAACTAGACCAATCCAACAGCCTCTGTAAAAGTTTTTCATTATGTATATTCAAAGCTGCCACGTCATGTGGACTTTTTCGGATCATAGCATCGCGTAGGAATTTCTCCGCCGCAGGGCTCCGTCGCTCTGTTCACCGGACTGTTCTTCGTGCATAGCATGCTTGCTTGACCGGCAGCTCTTGGTAGACAGCTTTGCATGCCTGTCTGCCATGCCCATGCATACGTACGTGCATGCACAGGGAGCCAGCGAGGTGGTTGCACAGGAACAAGACGAAGAGGCCACGCCATGGATGCCACTGCTCCGAATCGAGTGGAAGAAACAAAGAGAAGAAGCTACGAGCGAAGCACCGATTGGCTGCTTGCCGGCCTGCCGGGAGGCCTAGGAGCGAGCGTATGTAATAACCAGTCCAGCGTGCGATCAAGGCGCGTTCGCGCGGGAAGGGGCGACCATACGCGGGAACGGGCTGCCGAGCGCACGCAGAGTCGCGATAGCGAGCGACATTGGCTAGCCAATGCTAGCGACCGAAATTTCCGGGATGGACAGCGAGCTATCTTGGAGAGGCGTTTGCACAATCTGTTGGAGAAGCTTTTTCCTCAATAATAGCCATATTTAGCTTTACAAAATGTTTTAACTAGTTTCTTGGACTTGCTCTAATGGGCTGTACAGTAATTCTTATTTACGTATCGAGGTGAAAATTGGATGATCCGAAGACCGTTGAGAGGAGCCACCTTCACCCATATGTATAGGTGGATTATATTTAAAGTAAAAACTAACTAACTAAATTCCATTCTAATTAGTAAAAAAAAACTAATTTTCACCTCAGTTCACTTCAAAACACGTGGATAAGCTGGCCAAACAAACCCTTTGATCAGACATAAAGATAAATTATGTGAAATCAAGTTGCGGAAGGATATGCGCAACAATTTTTTAGTAAGGCCTCCTTTGGAACGTAGGATTTTCAAAACACAGAAATAGGAAAAAACACAAGATTAGAGTTGCACGAAATTTGCAATCTTAAAGAAATCTATAATGCAGGGAAAATATAATAATTTTTGAGGATTTCAATCGGATTCCTCTAAAATTCCTACATTTTTCCTTTGTTCCGAATGAGGCAGGGTTGTTGCCACTAAAATCCTCTAAAGTTCGTGTTTCAAACGTGTACGATATGGGAGGAAAATTCCACACTCGCAGATGGATCAGGGAAGAGGGTTCAGAGAAATGGCGAGTGGCCATACAGAGGACCAAGAAGTTTGTGCTTCGTGGAAGCGACAGAACAACACAAGAACCGTAGGAAAGAGGGGGATATATAAAGGAATGTCTTGACCTTGCTGTTGCAATTGTAAATCATGAATGTCAAGGTTGCTTCCTTTCTGCTCGTTCGCCACACCACAATTGATTCTTTGTCAGGAAGCAAAATAATTCCTTTTTTGATATAATAAATCTTTGTAATTTTCTTTATAATTTTGAACAAACTTGAGATGCTTTGACTCTTCAAGAAAGTTGAAACAACTTATAATTTGACACGGAGAGAGTATATTTTATTTAAACTCTGAAGCCATACTGCTAATTTTAACAAGGTGCCGACACATCACAAACTCAGATTAAATTGAGCCATCAAACAAGAGGATACTGAAACTGACAGTCCATGCGACGTTTGCTTAGGGTACACTTCCAATTTCATTAGTCAATCTTCTACTACTAAAAAAAACATTTATGTTTTGTCAAAAAAGAACATTTACGATGCTACAAGTACAAAATTATATACAACACAAAATGTTTCATTGGAGTGTTCCTTCGGCTTCTTGTAAGTTGTTACTTGTGTGAGCTAACATCTCTCAAAAATCTTGTAAAGTTTCTCCAGAGAAGCAATCTGCACACAGTTTAGAAAAATAAATAGAAAGATGTTAGCAACCATTGTTATTATCATCGACAGAGGTGAGTCATACAAGTAACACTATTTCAAAGCTTGGCTACATGTTGACATAGAAAGGACAAGACAATCTACTCGAAACAATGCAACCCACAGGTGGCCTGGTGATGATACTATGATCTGTCCAAGATAATTTACAGCTTTTAACTGGCAATTTTAAGAAAAATGCAAGACCACTTGTACACGTAGTACCTTGTTCAAAGATTATGCCAAGGACATTGCAACGATGAGAAGATGGGATGGTGGTTTCAGTTTCAGAAGTATGCATTAGTCTGGAGGCACATTTGACGGTACCAATGGTACAAGTACACGCATTTCTAAATAGGACTCCATACTGGCAATTTGTTAAACAGTTCAATGCCAACCTGGTGATATATATAAGAGATTGTACGTAAAGCATGCCAATAAATTAGGTGCAGCAACGAAACCATCCATAGATCAAAGTACAGTGTCAGGGGTTTGGTCATATCTAATGGTCTCTCTACACAGTCAAAAGGTGTACACGCCAAAGCTTTGAAACACAAGGGAACAAACCTGAACAAAGGTTCCATCTGTTGCCATTGACTTTGGGGGCTTGAGGAAAAGTCGAATGGATGGAAATAAGACATGCTGAATGGTCCACTCGCGCTGGGACCATGCTGTCTCTGCTTCCGCAAGTAGTTCGTGATCAATGTCATCTTCATCTGTGGCGCAATTCACCTTTTAGCACCAATAGTAATTAACGCTGATGAAAATACATGTATTCAGCCTATGAAATATGTAGCCCTAGCATCATATATCAGAATTATTGGTGTTTTCTTTAATTTTTCATCTCATCTTATAGGAGTGGTTTCAGGGTTGTCAACTGGGACAGAATCCAGCTTCAGTAATATTGATGATGTCTACTACGGTGTACACCTTGCGACTCTTGATAATGTCCTAGCACCAATAGCACCTCACTGTGTAACGGCTGCAAAGTACATAAACCAATCTGCTCACCTGTACTATCAACATGTTCGCCACTCGCCATGCAATCTTTATTTTTCTTGTACAACTGAACGCCACTCCCTGATGGATTTGGAAGAATGGGAGGATGGAGTGCGTAGAAGTTCCCAATAGCAGCTGCTGCCGTTCTGAAGCACTCTTTCTCATCATCCCAGGTAACCTATTTTAAGATTGAAATTGCTAAAAAAAATCAGGGTTGCCAGAACTAGGGAGGACTGCATCATCCAAAAAAAATGCCATGAGGCAACATACATCAGGGTTCAAACTAAGAAACAAGTTAAATAAGAAGTTATGTTCAGATACTTATACGAAAAGCTAGTTAAATTTCAAACACTGAAACAGTTCTGCAAATGAATTACTTGCCATCTCGATAGGGAGTGTACAGTCTAGCACTCTAGTTCCACGCTCCAGTTTTAAATTAGCACACATAATGAACTTGACGACTTAACAAGAGAAAACCTACATCATTCCCCATAGTCAACACAAATTCTGGGAGATGATCCATATCAGGGGTGTACTGATCAAGTACAACTGGAAGCCTGGTCAAGTTCCCATCTTGATCAACGTGAATAGAGAAGTACTCATTAATCATCTCAGCGTTTTCTTTCAGTATCTTCGAGTTTACCTGCAAAAAATAGATTATGTTTCTTTAAGGAGCTATGTAACAAGAAGTTGGCGGACTCAAACTGAAACTTCTAGATATTATACATCACCTTAGGCACCTATCACATTAACCAAGATTTTGGGCAATTCAGAAAACAACTTACCTCTGCAATCTCCAGTTTCTCATCATTTTCATCACCGATTAATTCATCATCTTTCAGTGCTATCAGCAGCAGCTCCTGAAGAGGAGCTGGTTCACTAAGCTGTATAGCATTGAAGTTTCCAAAACGGCACAGAGCTTGCTGGTACATGAGTTCTTTACTGCACCGTAAATTGAATAATTAACATATCACATGAAATGAAATTAAATACAAAATGTCCCTGGAAATAAATAATATCAATGCAATATGTCGAAGTGGCAGCAGTAGTTGCAATGCAGGTGGTAGCAGTGTGAATGTCTGGCATGGCATCATCCTGAACAACTTTATGTGGGCATGCATGCATCTTATCTGTATGGTTAGAATGGAATTGGGTTTCTAGTGCCATCTGCGAATCATGCAAGAATTTTTGTTTTTGCTCAGATAAGGCACTGGTCACATGTGGAAAGGACAAGAGATAATTCACTGCGTTGGAGTTACCTAACATTTACAACATTGACAAGGTATAAGTGAGTATTGTGCTGTATCAAAGCAAAAACTTCATCAGCCAAGCCAACATATGTGCAATTCTTAATGACCTCTAAAAGACCTGCAGCAGTAGATAAAACATCAGGCTAAAAGAATAGAGGCACCCCTTTCAGAAAAAGGATAAGATGAACTCACCAGGATGGCAGTGAGAATCTATTTCCATAAGAAGCTCATGACGGCTAGATAGATCACAAGCATCCTTTGGATTCCTCCTTGATCTTACAACATTTCTTGTAGAATCATGTAAACATTGAAAAAGAAAATCAGCCTCAGCAAAAATAAATGATAGCAATCACAGTTTTCACTTCTTAAAATAGATTGTTTGAATTAGCAACCAACATAGGAAAAAAAGGAAAGGACAGCACTCCCAACAAAACGAGATCCAGCATGCAATCAAAAAAATCATCACAAGGATAGGATAGCAAGTTTGTAAACAAAAAAAAAGGGTGCATGTGAGGGGGTGAAGTGTTTCAATGATACAAATACAAGATCAAATCAAATGATGAGGAAAATCTGAAAGGAACGCTCAGTGGTTGCCAGCTTGTAATAATTAATAGCCTTCCTTACAGAAACAAGGTCAGATTTCTTTTCAAGATTTGAAGATTGCCCATGCCAGTAAGTGTGCAACCTTCCAGATGGATTGCGTGGATCAGTTCTGACCATTTGGCTCACAGGAGTCTTTTGAGATTTCATTCCTACAGTACAAATGGTTACAATGAGATGATTCACTGGGCGGGATTCAGATACAGCTGAGCAGGTAGCAAATAGTAATAAGCAATTAACTCATACGCCAAGGCAGCATAGGGCACTACTGGAACACATTTAAGCTTAAAAAGTTATGATCCATTATACGTGTTGATTAACGTTGTACATACCAGAGGCCATTTTGACCTCAGTACCCTTGTCCTTCTGTGTGTAAACTTGAGTAAGTGCTGAGGAGTTAACTGCCTGCAACTTACATGGAACAGCATCATCAATGGTACAGAAGTTTACATCAAAGTTCAATTACATATGCACAGACATCATAGGACGTTTCAAGTATAAGAATCTGTTATTATAAATAATGAAAAACATGCTTGACCATCACCAAATCATATGCCATAAAAAACACATATGACATATCAAATAAAGTTCTCAGGTCAATGCTTGTGTTTATAGGCGGGGTCACCCAGTGAAGAGTCATGTTTCCAAGAAAGATTTTATGAACATGGTGCCCAAGTATGTAATCAAAAGTTGTCAAACAGATATATGGCAACCGGTAAGTAAAGTATAGTAGTGGAATAAAGGTTATGACCCAGAACTACCATGTAATATCAATGTTCACAATACACATACAATCCAAGGGTAAGTAACTAAGTATCACGTATTTGTATGGGACTAAGTAATATAAGCAGGTTTGCAGATACACAATGCTAAATAGCCAATTAATTACCTGAGTTTGGAATATCCTTGTGGTATTAGAATTCCTCAGCTTTTCCTCAATGGTATTTTTTATAGTTTCAATAATACGCTCTTGATTCAAGAGGCTAACCTGAAAGTCAAAGTATTCACAAAAGTGTCCAATCATTTGTTCTATAATTGGAAAAAATAAAAGAAAGAAAAATGCTTGAACATCAGAAGTAGAACAGCATACCTCTTTTTTGGTTGGGTGTATATTGACATCCACATGTTCTGACGGAAGATTGATGGACATGTATATGAAGGGTTTGGATGCTTGAGGCAATGTTGCAGAGTACACAAATTCAATTGCCCTTTTTAAAGCGGTACAGTCTACAAGCCTATCTGAAGAGTAAATATGAAGATACATAAATGATAAAGCAGAGAAATAATGCATATAGTAGAAAACAAAAAGGAGCGGCTAACTTGACTAATTCTGACCAGAATGGCAAAGGTGGATTATCTACATGATCATTCATTTGTAGAGAAAAAGTTTCCAAATCTAAATAAACCAGCAGATGTTATTTACACAGGAATGGAGAAATATTGGCTCCCTAAAAAAGTCACTAGTACTATTCTCGTATGTTTCTACCATTTATGAAAAGGATCATCATGATCTTCTTTGCCACATAATTTGCATTTGATATATAACCATCCATCTTGAAGACTGCATCTCCAGCATCCTCATCTGAAACTTCTATTTCAATCAGATCACGAACAACAGAAGCCCCATAGACATTCCTTATAGCATCCAGTCTAGAAGATGTGCTCGAACTATGAACATCTGCTCTATTGGCTCCATGCTGTGACATAAGAAGCAAATGATACCCTATTAAATCTGATGAGTGATGATATAAAGGGTGCCTTATTAAATCTGACGATGATATAACGGTGGAAAAGGGCAGGGATATTTACCTTTCTGCAGGAAAAGTTCACATTGATGTGATGGACTGCAAAACGACTAATGAAATCTACAATCTTGGGGTAGTCGTCATTGGAGTTCTGCAATGTTTTTCTACGAGCTACCATATTGTAAAATAAATTTTCAACCTGCAGAGAATTATGTTGTTGTAAACCTTACAGAAATATCCGATATCCAACAGTATTAAGCAGACAAGGAAGTAGGTACTTCATGTAAACTGACCATGACTTGAGTTCCTTTAACTGCAGCACAGGGTTTTGGCTCATTCTCCATTACTCCATCTTTATAACAAACACTGACGGGAAAACATGACATAACTTATATCAGCAGCAAATATAGAATATAGCAGAATCATAAAATTTTGAACTGTTCATGAACTAACCGATAGCCGTGAAGTTGGCCCTCTGTTATTGTTGTCACAGTAACATGGCCGACATAAGTCATACTGGCCAGGGCCTCCCCTCTAAAGCCCATAGATTTTATGGTCTGTAAATCCTCATATGCAGATAACTTTGAGGTAGTATGCCTTTCGCACAATATTGGCAAATCCTCAAACTGTGAAATGAAAACAAATTAGTTACATAGGTGCTTTTTCAGTGGGACACTTAGGGTGAGACTGCGAAATATGAACAGAACATGCATTGAATGCAGTTATCCTATGATTGAGAGGAGGCCCCTCAAAATACAAAGAACCTCGGAAGTCTTAACAGATCACATAGTGAATGTGCTTATCCTATGATAGGGAGCAGGCCCCTCGAAATGCAACAAACCTCTTGTGGTCACACTCACACATCACATATAGCCATATAGGACTAGGAGTAGCATCCAAAATCGTACCTGTAATTTATTAGCATTCACATTCCTGGACTGCTTAATAGGGAAAATTATATCCTGATAGTTTTGTTCTCGTAATATTGTTTGCAATGTGGTCAAGACATATAACATTTCAAACATATCAAAGCACAGAACCAAATGTCCCTAATGGTTCGTTCATCATTCACATGCTTGGCAATTCGTTGAATCCACCAATCGCTGAACCGCTCCAAAACGGACTCGGTCCTCCAACTACTCGACACTAGAAAAGTGGGGTCCCTATCAAAAAAAAAAAAAGTGGGGTCGATTTCAGGGGTTTAGGGTTTAGCGAGCATACCCGGATGCCGTGGCCGTCGTCGGAAACCTGTATGAGCTTGAGCCCTCCGTCCTTTACGGTGACGGAGACCGTGGACGCGCCGGCGTCGAGGCTGTTCTCGACGAGCTCCTTGACCGCCGACGACGGGCGCTGGATCACCTCCCCCGCCGCGATGCGGTTCACCACCGATTCCTCCAGCCGCCGGATGCGGGGCGGGTCCGCGCCGCTGCCTCCGCCGACGCGCGGCGACGGGTCATCGACGTCCATGGCCGCCGTGGAGGCACGGAGGCCGAGAAAATGGGAATTGCTGCCCCTGCCCTGAGGCGAGGTGAGCTTGGGCTTTGGAGTTGGAGTTCGCGCGTGATGTCTAAAATAAGCGAAGCAACAAAATTTGGTTTACGACAGTTTTGAGACAAATGTTGGATGTATTACATTAGCTTCAAATTTCAAAATTAGAGGGTGTAAAACGAGTAATGCTATGGCTGTAAATAGGATTATAAACCACACATGGTAATTCGAAATATCAGCAGTTAAAAAGTTTCATGTGGTGGTGGTTCTTATCCATCTAAAATAAAGGCAGTTTTTGTTGAAAAAGAAAGGCAACTGTAAGATTAAAATCAAACTGCTTGGAGCATGGTTTAAAAGGCGTCGTCTAGGCGTCGCCTAGTAAATCCAGTGAGAGGAAAGTTCTTGGGCGTCGGGCTACTTTGGACTTCCGCGCTTAAGGTGTCCGCCTTGACGTACTAGGCGTCCGCCTTGCTTTCGATTAAGGGCGTCTGGTCGTCGCGGCAAGGCGCCATGGGCGGATGCCTTAACTCGAAATCGGTAGCGGAAAGAAGCGTCTGGCGCAAGGTATGAGGAAGAAATCGCTCCGTGCGGGCCTTCCGCCTTTCATTGCTGTATGCGAGAACAAATTGAGAGGAGAGATAAAGCGCAGGAGGTAAATCGAGAGAGGGAGAGTAATTAGATTTAGAAACCAGAGGCCCGCCCGCTCGCCCCTTCTTGACGTGGCGATTCCCCCGCGGTGGCGTCAAATCCTCATGAGTGCGGCACTGTATGGCGGCCCCACACATCTCTGGCTGGTCGCCCCCTCTTGCAAAGAACCGGATCCCGCCGTTTGTACTCGATTAAGCTTCACGGCCGCTAAATCGATTGGAGACCACGGTATCCACCGTCTCGCTCTCCGCCAGCACCAGATCGGGGCTCGATTTGTTTTTGGCGGCCGGCCCCACTCCGACACCTGCTCACTGCCTTCCAGCATTGGGCACACTGCAAGCTGAGGTAGTGCCTCTCCTCTCTGTTTCCCTCCTTCCTCTGTTACTTAAATAGTCGATTGTGCCTGACTGCTTGTGGTTGGATTGCATAAAAAACAGAGCACGTCACATGGTGTTGTCTGCTTCTTGCTTGATACTTGTGGTTTGTTTTATAGATGTAGACTCTCTGTGCCTGCTTGTGGTTGGAATGGATTGCATAAAAAACAGAGCACGTCACATGGTGTTGTCTGCTTCTTGCTTGGATACTTGTGGTTTGTTTTATAGATGCAGATTGGAGTGGTCCACTCATAGTCTTCTTTGTGGTTAGAACATCTGGGGCTGTGTATTATATGTTGATTGCTCTGTTTTATATGCTAATTGCTCCGATTTATGTGCTAAAGTGACTTGATTTATGCTAATTCCTACACCTTTATCCCATATTATACTGCTACTTTCTGCTAGTGTTTGCTTTAGGATGTACTGTAGTGTCCTTTGGTCTTTGTTGAACTGCTCGTTAGCCTATATAAACTATATAGAGCATTAACCATGCTATGTGCTTGGGTTCTTTGCCTTTTTATGCAGGTGAAGCACAATGGCAAGTCCACCTTCCGCTGCTAGCGAGTATGATCCCAAGAATGATCCAACCCGGAAGCCACAAAAGACCAAGGATCCAGGGTGGAAGTACGCCTACTGGCCAAACCTTAGCAACAAGGATGAGGTAGCATGCACCTTGTGTGGTGGGAGTGTTCGTGGAGGGATAAAAAGGTTGAAGCAACATTTAGCAGGTGGCTTTGGAGATGCAAAAATTTGTCCTAAAGTGAGCACTGAAATTAGGAAGGAGATGGCAGTTTTTTTGGAGGCTAACAAGAGAAGAAGACCTTTGTTCCTAGAGGATGAGGATGGAGAAGCAGAAGTGGTGGAGGTGGCATCAAGTGGGCCTCCTGTAAGTGAGGCACAGCAAAATGAATCTTCTCAAGCCGCCAAGGTTCATCCTAGTTCAGGGACAGCAGCCAAAAGAAGGCAATCAACCATACAATTGAAGGCTGTTGGTAACAAGACTGCACAGCAAAAGACAAAGACCATTCTTTGAGATGCTTCAAAAACACGAGAAGAGGTGGTAGATGAGAGGCTCATTAGGTTCTTACTGACCCACAATTAATGCAAGCTGACAAAAAAGCGGGAGGAGAAGCATTATGTGGATATGCAGTGGGGTTTGTTCTTCTATGAGTGTGGTGTACCTTTCAATGCAGCGGCCGCAAGACAATTTCAGATTGCAGTTGAGGCCACAGCTCAGTTTGGTTCAGGGTACAAGCCTCCAACACCTTATCAACTTGGGGAGCCATTGCTTAAAGAGGCTGTGAAGTCAACAAGTACCATGAGGGAGGAGCATGAGAGGGCATGGAAACAGTATGGCTGCACACTTATGTCTGATGGATGGTCCGATAGGAGGGGACGCCACTTGATTAACTTCCTAGTGAACTGCCCGGAGGGGACATACTTCTTGAGTGGGTTGATGCATCAAGTGAAGTACATGATGCTAAGATGCTTGGCGATCCGCTAGAGGAAAGAATTGATGACATTGGAAAAGACAAGGTTGTCCAAGTTGTTACAGAGATAATGGTGCTAACTTCAAGGCAAAGAGCAAGCTTTTGATGGAAAGGATTCCTACAATATTTTGGAGTCCATGTGTCTTTAATTGTTTGGATCTCATGCTAGAGGAGATTGGGAACTTGCCAACATTCAAGAAATATATTGCACGTGCAAGGCGTGTTACAACTTTCATCTATAGGCATGAGAGGATCCTTCATGCCATGAGGGAGAAGACGGTGGGGCTGATCTTGTGAGACCTGCTGACAACTCGTTTTGCAACTTCCTTTCTTACTTTGAAGAGTTTGTACAAGCACAAGGAAGCTTTGAAGGCTTTATTTCATAGTGAACAATGGATTGGGAATAAATTGGCAAAAATCAGCAGTGTCTAGATGTGCGGAGCCATTGTGTTCTCTCTGAGTTCGGAACAAAGTTGAAGATTGCCTTAGAGCTTCAAATTTACTTCTCATTGTGCTTAGGGTGGTTGATGGAGATGAGAAGCCAGACAATGCCGAAGTTCAAGCATTAATGAACCACATAAAGAGAAGATCAATCTGAGCTTTGCCATACCATCCAAGAAAAGGTTGCTTGACAAGATCGGGGAGATAATTGAGCGAAGGTGGGAAAAACAAATGGATCATCCACTCTATGGGGTTGCATTGTTTTTGAACCAGTGGAAGCTCCATCCTCTCATAAGAAAAAATGATGATGCAACTGTTGGATGACTAAGAGGTTGCTTTCTTGATGTACTTGCAAGAATGGTGTGGAGGATGAGGAAACTAGAGACAAGATCAATGCTCAAGCCATGGATTATGAATTTCTTCGAGGAGATGCTTTTTCAAACAAAATGGCCCAAAGCAAAACCTTGAGTCTTTGAGCCCTCGTAAGTGTTGTGTTCTTCTCTTTTAATGTCATCAAGTGTACATTCTGACAATTTAATTCAAACAAGCTAGCATTTTTCAATCCCAGCTCTAACATATGATGCATTTGTTGTTCTAGTTGATTGGTGGCGTTCATATGGTGGCCGTGCTATTGAGCTACAAAGGTTTGCTAAGCGTGTGGTCGATCTTTGTGCTTCATCATCCGGTTGTGAGCGCAATTGGAGCACCTTTGAATTTGTGAGTTTTTCCCCATCTGTCATCTCCTTCTTTGTTCTTACCAATATTTCAAACAAGCATTTTATTCATCTTTTTGGTGTATTGTGTTTCTTATTTTGTAGATCCACACAAAGAAAAGGAACCGGTTGTTGCATAAGAGGTTAAATTCTATTGTCTTTGTTTTCTACAACCGGAAGATGAAAACTAGGTTCCAGAAATTGAGGCAGAAGAAAGGTAAAGGCTTTGATCCTTTGGTTGTTGAGGAGTTTGATTGGGACAATGAGTGGGGTGACTCTTTGCATGTGCCCCCTCATGGTGCTCGTGGTACGTGAGTGTGACCTTACATGGGACCTTGTTGATGAAGCTATTGGAGCATCGAGTTACTTTCGTGGTAGAAATTTACCAAGAACGACCCCACAACAAGCGTGCTAGAAATTACGCACCTATTGGGGTTCGGGAGGAGCTGGGTTCGAGAAAATGAGGATGAAGAAAATCAAGATCCCTATGATGACTTGCAGATGTGATGATTGTGAGGATGATCCTTGTGATGCCAATGGTAGTGGAGGAGATGAGAGGCGACCAACATCATTGGAGAGTTTGATGATGGCTATTGAGAGGAGGGATTTCAGATTTCCTATGTTGCTATTTCATATATGATGCGCACTATGCGCGCTACTAATTAAGTCATGCCATTAGAGACTAGTTTTTGGCTACTAAGACATTTCAGATTTGCTCTTTTGCTATTTCATATTGTGCACTAGTAGACTAGTACTCTAGTAGCACTACTTATCATCCTTATTATGGTCTAAAACTATGTATGTCTGCTAAGAATTGATAATATTAAGGTCTAATTTGCTTCTGAATTTTAGTGCCATTATATATTATGATATTCTTATGGCGTCGCCTAGGCGTCCGCCTTACTCGCCTAGGCGTCCGGAAAGGGGTCGCTCGCCTCGCCTCGCCTCGCCTTAACGCCTTTTAAACAATGGCTTGGAGCATGGATTCCTTTTCTCTTTCTTTCTATGCCTTGTTCGCCTGACTGATAAGCCATGGCTGAAAGTACTATTTATTGGTTGAAAAAATATGGCTTATGAGCCAAACGAATAGGACCCGGCTTTTGCATCCATCTCAGCTGTGATTTTTCCCCTGTACGACAATGAAGTACACGAATTCCACAAAATAACGTTCAAATCCATTATTTTCATAGGAATAATAAAAAGTTTATTTCTCACAAATTCACATGGCTTGGTCACCGCTCAGGCGCTCACCGTGCTCGTGGTGGGCCCTGAATACCCGATTCTCACCTGTCCGACCTGTGACTGGGCACGTGGCAGCTGGCGCTCCACCGCTCACTCTCCGGCGCGCGCCGCACCCGCGAATCCCCCACCAGCTCCTCCTCCTCTTCGTCCCCGATCCATCTGCAATCGGATGGGTAAGCATCTCCGCCCCTCGGGCACGAGCAGCTGCCAGCGGCAAGCCTCTTTCTCCCGTAATCAACCGCCTACTTCCTAGTAGTTCCTACCGACTAACGCTCTCCGCTCCTCGTCCTCCGCCAGTCTTGCTCCGGTGCGCCGTTGATCTCTGCAGCAGCGCTCAGGTTGGTTCGACCTACCGTTCTTCTAATCCCCACCGTATCGCGGTTTCGTCCGTGCCTGATGTCTCTTCGCGCGGTTAGCGCTGCAGGTGGTTTAGATCGGCGTGCGGCGCGACGCCGGGGCCGGGTCGAAGCACGGGATCCATGGAGAGAGTCAGGCTCACGCCGTTCCCGCCAAGGGAGCAGGCCACGACCAGGCTATGCAAGGTGTCGAGGTACTAGTACTACCGCAACTTACACTACACGGACAGACGACCCTACACTGGTGTTTGAGCTGACGAATTGCTGAATCTGGATGGTTATAAGCTGTTCTTCAGTTCTAACCACACGCGCTCGCCGCGATTCCCTGCAGCTTTGCTACAGAATTGCTCGAGATAAGGTCCAAGGAGCCGTCCCTCCACGTGCTGCTTATTCCTGGGAATCCAGGTCGGTGTGCTGCACTGCGCGTATGGTTCAAGCAAGAGAGAGGATTCGAAATGTTGAAATGCTCTTGAATGTAACCAGTTTCTGTTTTGTTTTGGTAGGCATAGCTGCGTTTTATAAGGACTTTGTCGAAGCGCTCTATGAAAACCTCGGTGGCCAAGCATCTGTTACAGGTAATTGCATAATGCATTTTTCTTTGTGTAGTATGGGCTAGTATCTGTGTGACTTGCTGCCTGCTGATGAACCTTGCCTGTTTTCAGCAATAGGGCACATTTCACATAGCCAGAAGGTAACTTATACAACTTACCTGATGTTTGTTTCACATGCAACTATGGGTGCCAACAACCCTGCAGCAAACCTTGTAATGCACATATATTAGAGATCCTTAAATGTTTGGGCTACAATTTAACTCTGTTTAGATTCCTTATTCAGCATATTAGTATTGCCAGCAGGACTGATTTTGATACATCTTATGGCAGGACTGTGAGCATGGACGATTGTTTTCATTGTATGAACAAATTGACCACAAGGTGCAGTTTACATGCTCCATCAGTTGAAACTTCTCTTTACTATTTTCTGTCCATTTGTGTTTCTGCTGCAACAGCTTTTTCTGCAACTTCTGTCATGAAAGAAAATAGCAAAATAGAGAGGAAAGCCGCATATTTGTTTCATCTGCCATTGTCTTAATATGTTCTGTTTCATGTACTGATTTACTTTTTAATCAGTTTGTTCCGGAGAAGATTTAACTCCTTTATTTGCATGGCCAACAGGCCAAGACTGCCCTGTGGTTTTATCCCATGTTTATCCCGTTTAATCGGTGTTCATGCATGCAGGTTGATTTCATTGAGCAAGAGCTTCAGCATTCTGAACAACCAATAGTTTTGGTAAACTTTCGCCTTCACCACTACAAGCCTTCATTCAAGTTGTTCTATGTTAACTGAAAACTCTAGTATGTTTCTTGACATACTAGCATACAAATATATGTAATCTAAACGAGTATTACAGATATCAGAGCTTAGGTGCTTACTCTTGTTTGGAAGTGGAAAGTCGTAGTTTCCAAATAACATCCAGATATTTATACAACCTAGAAGAGTATGCATCACAGATTTGACTGCTTTAACATCTGGCCCAAGTTCCCATTTGCCTTTTGTAACGTGAAATCAAAGTATTATAGAACCTTTGTCACTGTAATGTTCACAGCATTGTTATGGCATTACACAGGGTTTTATTAATATAGATTAACATAACATGTTATGTTCAGTAACTCTGGAACATTCAGATCTATTCCTTATTTAAATACCCAATATGGAACCTGTGCCTTTTCTCACCAGCTCTTTATTCGTTCCCAAAAGAATTGCATTTGTTTGTTTAAATGAAGGTTGGTCATTCAATTGGCGCATACATAGGCCTGGAAGTCTTCAAAAGATTTCAGAATAAGGTCTGGATTCTTGCCCATGTTTGCCAGTCCTCTCCCACAATCCGCCCATAGCGTTTACTATTGTCTTCGCTTCTCCTGGACAGATAATTTTTTTTTGTAGGACTGTATCCATTTTTAAAGATGAACAAGAGTTCTGTAACACAATCAACAATTGGATATATCGCAAGGTACTGAAATGCTCTGATCAAGTTTTTATAATTGTCATCATAGCATGTTGCTTCTATTGCCAAAGTTTTGATAATCTAACTTGGTGGCATGATTGCATCAACACTGAATATATTGCGGTGAGCAACTGATTTGTAGTCAAGTAAAATAGTATAGGATGATGCAATATAAGATTATTTTCCCATTTGAACAAGCAATGCAACATGGGAAGCTGGATATGAGTGGCATAGAGCTGACTATAACTTTTAAGTTAGTAGTGATTTTCATCTGTTCAGAAGTAAAATTTAAGGTCTTTTTGGTCGCTTCCCTTTCTATTTTCGGGCGCAAATGTAATTTCTGAGTTGTGTGGGGTTGTGTGTGGCATGTGTTGTAGGGCTCTAGCCCCTTTCTTTCTTCTTAATATAATGAAGCAGCTCCCCTACGTTTTCGAGAAGAAAAAAAAGACCTTACTTTGACTTGTGTTTCAAATATGCTCCCAAATCTTTACTAATCATTTTGCTGAAGTGGGTCTTCTCAATTTGGATCAGGTCATCACTCCTAAGTAAATTGGTTAGTTTATCTGCATCTTTCATCGGGTCACTCCGACCTTCAATTACAAGGGGCATTGTGAGAAGGTCCCTTGGACCTTCATGGTCTGTAACAGCTGTTGATGCTGTATGCTGCCATCTCTTAAGGGTTAGTCCTGAACTTTTAGTAACCAACTTGGTGTGTTGTTTCATATGCTTCAACTGTCACAAAATGTTGAGACATGTGCCCCTTCTCCATGCCCATTGCAGTACAATACAGTGCGCAATGTTCTTTTCATGGCAATGAGAGTTCCAAAAGGTTACTCACAATGCTGACTACTTGATGTTCTACTTCTACTTCTACATACATACGCATGGACCATTATAACAGCACATCTATTTGAGTAACTAGAGCCCCTCCATCTTTACTTGCATAGTGGCTATGATTATTTCTTTCTCGTTGTGCTCCAGCTTACTGAAGAACCAGACTGGACTTTCATCAGAGCACAAGAGGAGAAAATGGCCTTTTTGTTTGGTGTGGATGATCACTGGGGTCCACTATCTCACTTAGAAGAGGTGAAGTGATGATACGCTATTTGACAGCATTCTATTCTGATAGCTGGTGTTGGGGAACTGGGCTGCTAGATGCTAACTATCTTCAGTTAATTTGGAGGATTTGCAGATATCAAAGCAGGCACCCAGGGTCACCCTGTCGGTTGAAACAGAAGGTCACACACACGGTTACTGCTGCACTGAGGCTGGATCCGTTTGGGTTGCAGACTACAACGCAAATTTGATTAAAAACCAAATGCTCCTTAGAAACAACTGATGTTCATTTGGCAAATGTATCATATGACTCTTTTCTTTGAAAGAAGTGAATAGCTGGAGTGTGGTGGAACTTATTGAGGTTCCGGTTATGATATATAGTCCACATTGTTTGGCTTACTGGTTCTCTTTCAATGCCACCAATGCTTCGAGACTGTTACTGGATAATGCCACATCGGTAGTTTGGTACCTCTTATAACATTTTTCACAGTACAATCTGGGATGGTGAATACGATATATGGCGTGTTTTATTTTACAGAACGTTTAGCGCGTGGACGCCTCCGGACGCCCGCGCCTACTGTGCCTGCTTCATGTGGGGGCCGTGTCGCCCCGTGTCCCGCGCCCGCACCGTGGCTTGTGCGCGCCCCATGGCGCCCACTCCACGCCCATGCGTATGCAGGGGAGCCTGGCAGCTGCAGCAGATGACTGTTGCAGATGGATCCTACTATAACATCTAGAACATCAAAATTTACTTTTGCAACATCTAGATAAAACACTTACAACATACATTTGAAACAATGGAAGCACTTGCAATATACGTCTGTGTTTACACCAAAATTTGGGAAGAAGAACGCGGGAACTCAAAACTTTCAGGATTGTGTCATCAAGAAATCGATTGGATGAGAATCGGTATCAGCTGATTTAGATCTAATGTCAGAATCAGCTATTTTATGGATGACGTCAGCAGACGACGTCAATGGGCTATACTTGAGTGACGCCAGGGAGATGTGTCGGACTCTACAAATAAAAAAAATTGGGGTCCAAGTTATTATTAAGTTAGGAAGTTTTCTTTTATTTCAAGAATTGTAATGAGTCGTATTTGAGTAGGATTCATATTTAGGTTCTGGGTATAAATATTGGACCCTGATTATTGTAAAAACGAACATTCAATCAACACAACCTTTCCGGTTTTCGCCATCGCATTAGGAGTAGGAGTACTATAGATTTCGACGAGTTCTTCAGTAAATAGGGCTGCATCGACTTATCGACCTCTAGCTTCCGTGTGAGTACCGTCACGACTTGTATTATGCTTGTAAAGCTGTATCAGTTGATTGATCTTTTATGAGTTATAATATAAATTAGTTATCGATCTGGATCGTAATTTATAAGGCTGCATCAACTAATTGATCTCTTACGAATCATAATATAGATCAAAGTTATCGATCTTGTGTTAAATAACTTGTTGTTTAATACAATATTACCCGTTATCGAATCTGCTAAGATTAGTAAGATTTCCTTGCTGTTTTTTTTTGTTGATTCACCAGTTATCGATCTTGTTATAATTAATGTTTTCTTAATTATAACAAAATCACTCGATTGAGATAGAGATAGATCGGCATCATATCATCTTAATTGGTCGTCTTTTGATCTGATCACGCTTCAAACATCATAATTGATGGCTTAGTTCCGCTAGATCGGTTGTTTTATCTCTATTTCAGTCAAATATAGTATGCATCCAAAGACATGTTTCAATCTTAAATAAACTCATTAGTTAATGAAATCTAATCTAATGACACTACCATAGCTGCATCAATCCGGTCAAACCTCACTGGTAAGACTTTAGATTAGAAATTATCGATTAGTGGTCTTGTTCATGATATGTACTCTGTTTGTTTGCTATGACTGCATCGGCTATTTTAGCCGATTTGCCTATACTCTCACGCGTATAGCATGTTTTCATGAATCTATCAACATATAGATGGTTTCATAGATTCTTTGGCTTTAGTTTGTTATCATTATCATAACTGCATCGATCCAATCGAACCTCACTGCTGATGATAATAAATTAGATTCAAACTGTTTGTAAATTCATTTACAGTCGATTTATTCGCATATTATACTTTTTTCATGGATACGTTGGATATCGACTATTTAATCGATAGCCTCCTTGGATCGGCTATCTAGACGTACATTTAGAACTGTTTGTTGCAACAACGACATGTTCCACCTTAAATTATCGATAAGATTTTCTCTCCTTGTCAATTGTAGGTTAAATTGACTGGCACGTCGTTGGGCTTTCAGAATCAACTGGTTCTGTGTTGAAGCTAAGCAGATCTCTGGTTTCGTTCTACTCAGATCTTCTGGCTTGCTGTGTGTTGATCACATCGTCATATTTTTGTATCAACAGTCTGAAACATTAGGAAAATATGTTTGTAGCTATTGCAAAACATATGCAACATCCAGATAAAATATTTACAACATATATGAAACACTTAAAACATACGCTTGCAACATGCATGTATATGTAACATCCAGATCTACTTTTGTAGCATTTAGATGAAACACTTCCAACATATGTCTGAAACAGATGAAACATTTGGGGCATACACTTGAAAATACCATTGCAACATGTGCAACATCCCGATCTACTTTTTCAACATCGATATAAAACACTTGCAACATACCTCTGAAATATTTGAACACTTGAAATAGATGCTTGCAACATGCAGTTTCAATGCAACATCTCCTTGCTGCTTTGGAGAATGGATCCTTGTCTGCATGTGGAGTTCTATCCCGGCCGTCACGGGCTACACGCGGGCGAGTTCCGCCCCGGCCATGGCAAACTAGGTAGGTGGGCGCGAGATGCCCCGAGCTGCCATGAGCTGTACGCGAGCGAGCTCCACACCTGGCCGCAGCGAGCTGGGCAAGGGGAGGCGAAGGTCTTCCTGGCCGTCGACCAGGCGTTCGGCTCCCCGTGGTCGAGGTGAAAGTGGTCTCCCTCACCATGGGCGAACGGCGCAGCGTGGCCGGTGGAGCTCGTGCGTACGCAGCTAGCGGCGGCGCTCGACGCTCGTGCATATGCGGACGGCGGCGGCTCTCATGCGGATGCGGGCGCTAGCGGAGCTCGGGCGTACGCGACCGAAGGGTGGGCAGTGTGGTGGAACCGATGCGAATGGAGAAGATAAGATGTCGCTCTCTTTTCTTTTTTTATTATTTTTTAAGAAATCATGTATGCCGATTAGGGGAGCAAGCCTGTGGGCCGATTCATAGTCCAGTTAGCCGCACCCAGACTGACCGATGCAGAATAAACGGCCGTGGTGAAGCATTAGCGTTTATTTTAGCGTTGCCAATGTGGATTTGTGGATTATTTAAGCTAGCTGGCTCTGATTGTAAAAACCCGCGATTAATTGCCATCGCTCCTAATGAATGTGTTACCTTATTTGCGGCTTTCATCGGGTCCGGTCCGTCACTCCAACCTTCAATTAGAAGCTAGGGGCATTGTGAGAACGTTCCATGGACCTTCATGGTCTAGCTGTTCATGCCCCTGTACCTTCGTTGTGACAAGATATCCTGCAAGGATACAGGAAGAATGGGGAAAGGGTCAAATACTACGTCCGTTTCAAAATAAGTGTTATTCTCACTCGTCGATAAGTCAAACATTTCTAATTTTAACCAACTATATATAAGACAAAGAAAATATTAATATTTATGGTGCATCATTAGGGTCATTAGATGAATCGTTGAATATTTTCATAATAAACTTATTTGGAGATATAAAAGTTGTTAATATTTTTTACAAATCTAGTCAAAGTTGAGAAAGTTTGATCGACATGGATACCATAATGACATTTATTTTAGGACAAAGAAAGTATGAAAGAACAGTGTTGCAGGTACTTGTAGACTTCGTAGCAGACTAGACACCAAAAGACGCATCACCGAAAGAGACTGCCCAGGCTCCAATCCTAGCCAGACTTCAACTAAGACAGAAAACCAAACACATACTATGTGTCATGGAGCCCACCGGGAATAAAATTAAGATATGCAGAGAGATTGAAATTCTCATGTACTAACAAGGTCACATAATACGAATCCATACTCTCTGGGTCTTCCTGAAATCAGAGCACTCGGAGCTCAGAGGTTCATCATCAAATCGAATACCCAGATGAACACAGGGCCTGTAGAAAAAGAATATATGGCAAGGGAGCCAGAACTCGCAACAAGGCATACTTGTACACAGGATACGAACAAACAATATAATTTTTGATCCATCTCATATATACAAATAATTTGATCTATCTAATGCTGATGGCTATGCGCCACGTTACAAAGAAATGTTACAACAAATTTTCTCACTCCATTCAGAACAGAGAACTCATTTATGCTATTACATTTTTTTTTTAAAAACACAAAGCATACAACATCAGACAAATGCACAAATTCTATGGAAATCTTAGATTCTTCATCTGTATCCTCAACGTTAGCTACACAGGTTTCTTTTGTTCCAGGTTCTAAAATTCATCATCATCAAGTGACTCATCATCTGGCATCATAGCTGTCAACAGTGAGTATTTCACCCGCAATGATATCTTACCCCTCTCAAGGTTCAGCTTTGCGCCTGAAACCACCCAATAGCCCGGTGAGTCCTGCGGCCCACGCATCATCTCTGTTGGATCAACAAACTTGAGAAGCTTTGGGGTCTGCACTGGAACAGGTGGGCCACCAGGGTACACTGCCGAGTTTATGTTCACATCAGCTGGCCGCGGTGGGGGCTTCTGAGCTACTGAGGAGAAATGTGTGCTGATGAGTGTTGAGATAAGGCCTGATTTCTGAGCTAGGTTGGGAGAATTCTCCCATTCCGAGTTCCTTACAACAACATTGCAGGCTTTGGAGAAATGCAGGCGAAGGAACAGAATTTTCTTGAGGCCATGGTTAACCACATCTAATTGTGCCCCTGTGACAATGGACAAATCATCTGACTCGACTGGTGCTGTGCAGACATGAGAGAAACGCTTCCACGGTCCAATTGGTTCGTAGTATTT